CTTGGGCTTGTGTGCAAATGAAGAGGCTCTTATTATGGTAATATCTCCTCTTCTCTCCCTATCTTTATCCACAAAGCCTCCATCTTTTAAATTACAAATCTTAATTCAGATTTGCAGCCCCACCACTGCCACCAGGACCAGCTGTAGACAATTCCCCTGTGGGCTAAAATGCCAACTGATTCTCAACCCGCCTCCTGGAGCTGACTGCAGACAAAACTAAACAATATTTGCATCGCCAGCCCAAAACCTTCATATCTTTAATATGTTCAAATAGAAAAAGGAGGGTTTTACTTTAAAAAGATGCTGTAAATTCATCAATCATTTTATTGTCTTTGAAGAAAAACAACCATCTTGTCAACAAAGGATTCACGTATGGCCTCTTCTCATGTTAAGCTATCGCTCAGCTTCTGCGTCATTTTGAAAAGACGTTTTATCCACAAAGTGTTCAAAAAGCATTGATATTTTTACATTCCTGTTACCTGCTCTTCTCTCAAATACCAATTGTAAACAATCATGGCATTCTTAAACATTTCCTCAAGAGAATTATTTTAGAAATATCTAATTTATTTGTTTATTGTTTTGTTTTTATATGAAATAAAGTATAATTTAAAATAAAGCAGCTCTGTGTGCTCGTTTCTTTATTTAACTTTAAAGAACTCCATTAAGGATTTTAGGTTTGACACTCCCATCACTTTCCTTTGGTGAAAAAGGAGCTTATCCCAGCTGAAACCAGGGTGAAGGCAGGTATTATCCCAGACAGTATGTGTATCACAGGGCTTTAGAGAAAGACAACCGAACAGCCTCACATTCACACCTGCTACCAGTTTGGATCTAAAAGACATGTCTTTGGACAGTGGAGGAAATCCATGCAATCACAGGAACTATATACAGAAAGGAGGTTCAAACTATACCTAAACCTCATTTTATCGGTTTAGACTGATTAATGTTGAAAACAAAACCAGAAATGCTGAAAACCAGAGTGTTTCGGAGCATAATTGGTCGAGCAAAGGATGGCTGACCCATGCTCTGATGAGTTTGTTTCCATTCTTGTGATAGCTGTGCAGCGCTTTCTCTGTAGCATGCGCCATAGCACCAAGACACACCCTTAAAATCCACGCATTACACTCACTCATTCCTAACGTTGCTGATTCCCACATCTCATTTTAGGAAGAACTTTAATTGTAATAAATTACATTTAAGTAAAGGCCCCTTTGGTGTGACAAACTGGATCTTATATGGGATTTAGTGATTTAGTCTGACCATTTTAATCCTATTACCCCACAGCTTAATCACTGGTATGTTTGGTATTTAGCACTGTGCTTAAGATGTTTGAGTATTAAGAAATGGTCTTTGATTTAGAGTTGGAGATGATTTCAGGGAAGAGGGAACATTTGTCCCCGCTTTAAGTTGCAGATGTATTTTGTTGTCTCATACCAGGCCTTTAGATGTGTCTAAATACTCCACAACAAAATGCAGAGACACTGGTTAATAAAGACAGCCACCAGAATCCTGCACATGAAGGGATTGTGAGGTTCAAGAAAAACCTCTGCAGAAGAGACACCTTCATGCCAGACAAGTATGTGAGGAACAACCTGGAAAAAGATTATGAATACTGGAAGTTTGTCCTTTGGAAAGATGAGACAAAATTAGGGGTCTTTGGTATCAGAGACGCTGCTTCTGTTTGGAGAAAGAAGCCAGAGGCGTATAAAGAACATTGTCCCCAGAGTGAAACACAGTGATGGGACTATTATGCTGTGGGAATGCCTCAGGGCATCTGAAACCATGAATATTGTCAAGGTGGAATGAATCAAGAAAACTTCAAACAGTCACTGCAAAACTGGGTCTGGGTCATCACTTTGACTCACAACATCATAGAGACCCAAAATATGTCAGTATTAACCTTTGCATTAAATAAATTCTTTAAAAAACACATTTTTCACTCGTCTTGTGCAGTGTGTTAATAGTGTTGAAGATTCAGAATGATAAAATTCATTCATTTGTAAAAACTATTTTCTTTTCAAGACTTTCTGCAAGTTACATTTTTTTTCCTACAGTTGGATACAAATTTGTCTCTTTATCCTCATGTCTTTTTGGTTCTGATGAAGGCTGTACTTGTTATATGAAAACCCAAAGTGCTTGGTTTTACTGATGTCACTGCATTCCTGGGTGAAAGAAATAAACTCGTTACGTTGATTAGTTCAGTCTAAATCAAGATCCTTGATATGAAAGTAGAACTTTCCACTAAATCCCCATATGAATTTGTGCAATTTGTTGCAAACTTGAAAGGGGTAAGAGTGTCTTGATCTCATCATTGTAGGAGTTGGCGATTCTCATTAAACTAAAAAATAAAGTAATAACTTTGACAAAAAAATTGGGTGTGGAATATGCTATAGACACTGAGAAAAGCAAAAATGACAGCAAATTGAAACAAATGTGAGAAAGATGAAAGACAGAGACGGGAACATAGACGGCGAGACAGAAGAATGAAGAGATGGAGGTTAAAGGTTAAGAGGAGGGAGGCGAGGGCAGCGGTGATCCCATCCAGCCACGGCTTTTGAAGTGTGCATGTGTGTGTGTGTGTGTGTGTAATTCCTGTGTCTGTGAGTGTGAACATGATTATGTGTCAGTGTGTGCGATATCTGCTGTGTACACTGTGTGTGGTCCGTACATGTATGCAGTCGTGTTTGTGCGTCTTATCTCCTGTGTACAATAAATCGTGATCGCCCGTTGAGTCTCTCGTAATCTCTGAGCTCCATTCCTGCTCCGGCTGATAAAGGTCTCAGTCTGCAGGATAAGCGTCTCTGGCTGAAGGGCTGTTATCCATGTGTGATATTAGTTGTGAAGACAATTTGGTTTTCATGTGTGTTTTTGAAGCAAAGAACAAGAAAATAGCAAATTTTCTGTGTTGAGGGTCTGGTGTGCTATGTACCACCTATATATTTATGTATATAAATATAATACTAGCATATAAAATATTAAGAAATAAATCATAAACTGTCTTTAGACAGCAACTATTAATTTGTTTGCTCTGTTATGAGCAAGGAGGCATTATTTCACAATTCTTTTCACTTCTAGTGGATCTCCTTGGTTTGAAGGTTCAGGGTCTTTAGGGGTTTCATTTCCTCCACTGAACACATCTGATTTGAAGGCTTATTGCTAGCATTTAAACATATATCCAACTACAGATGCATTATTTTGCTTGTTTGTGGCTGGTTCACAAGAACAAAGTCAAGCTTTGTTTAGTATATTTCCGAAGACAACAGTTATTGGGAATTTGTTAGTGGAAATTATTTTTGGAAGATGTCATCTTAAGGTCTTCTAGCTGTTAAAAGGAGATGAATTAGATTTTTTTTTTTCAACCAGGAGAGATATTTTGGGAGCTTGCTTTGTGCTTTTTCACTTACTGGTTAGGTTCAGGCATCTAAAGTGCTTGGTTCGGGTTCTGAAAACATTGTGGTTTAGATTCAAATACACCCCTTTACCACGTAAGAATACCCAGTCCATTTAAATGCAACACTAAGGGATCATAAAAGAGTGTCTTTATGTAATGACTTGGAATTTACACCCATTTCACCATTGCTGCGCTCTGTGAGCCTGGCGCCAGTGCCGGCGAGCGCTTGTGTATGAATCTCTGAGACAAATGAACAAGAAAATTTAGGCTGCAAAAAAGTTCCTGAAACTGAAGCAGCAGAAGCACCTCAGACATGTGAACCAATAACAATGAATTATGCTTCTTTTCAGCTGTAGTGACATTTCCATGAAGGTGCAGGTCAAGTTACCATACAGTGGCTTGCAAAAGTATTCGGCCCCCTTGAACTTTTCATTCCACTTCTCACGTGTACACCACTTTATATTGATCTTTCATGTGGAATTCAGATAAAATTGATTCATGTTTGTGGCTGTAATGTGACAAAATGTGGAAAAGTTCAAGGGGGGCGAATACACTGTGGTGTAAGGTTTATCTACATCATAGTATTAACATATAAAAATTCATCCACTGTAAGTAGCACTATTGCATCAATGTGTTGCTTTGCTGGAGAAAACAGTGGATGAGTCAGAATTGCATTATAGTTGAAAATGTGGTCAAGCTCATCCTCTTTGTATCTAATGACACATTTTTATCTTCTAAAAAGAAATTAATATAGCTGAGGCCTTTTAGAGCATCTCATCAGATTTATCATCACACAGGCCTGAGACCTGCAGAAAGTGCATCGGGTTACAGTTACAGTTTAGCAGCTTGCTTGATATGACCGCACAAATGCACAAAGGCACAATTAGCTCTATTTCTTTGTCACAATATTAGGGACAAAGATGAACTCCAAACATGATGTAAATGTGTACCAAGCAAGTACATTTGATTTGACCAGACTGCATTAAATTTAACATTTTGTGCAACAAAATGACAATTTTTTTTTACATGCAATCAAATTTCTCAGTCAGTCAGCATTTCAGGCTTTCTGGGTGTGTTAAGGACTTCTTGAATCATGTTCCTACATTAATATCTTCAATGTGACACGTTTGGGTTCACAGAAACTATAAACACACTCAGGCAAACACGTCTACACGTCTGCTACAAACAAACCCCTTATCACTGCAGTACAATCTGTTCAATTTGTGGTTTGTGGTTGCTTAACTCCAGATATCTGAGTGTGTGTGTGTGTGTGTGTGTGTGTGCGTGCGTGCGTGCGTGCGTGCGTACACGTGTTTCAGTGTAACCTTCATTGACCTGGCATCAATGGAAAACTGTTGGGGTCACTGAATGTTTGTTTATCACGTTTGAACCTAAAAAACTAAAAAAAACTGTATTTACATTAGAGTTAAAATATGCGACACTGCTGCTCAGGGGTTCCCTGGTGAGCGTGTGTTAGAAGAGTGCAGAAAGAGCAGATGGATAATTTTGGCGTCTGTGGTCTCATCACCTTGTCTAACTTTCCACATGACCAACACTATGGATTTGAAATAGAGGTGCTGGTGGGTTTTTTTACTGGGTGTGAGTGCAGTGTTAGACTCAGCGGGCAGCATATCTGCTGACTGACTTCCTTCTCCATTTGTCTGATTAGTCAGCAAGGGTCCAGCTTGCGCTGTGTTACTCTGACAGCAAATCCAGCTTCCATTCAGCCACATAAACTGTTGATGCTGCTAATGGGAAAGCTCCGGGCTCCAGCTTTACTGACAATCATGTTTTTAGGTGCTGCTAAGCAAGGCCAGTGTTACTTGGCTTCTCATTACAATAAGCAAATGCTTAACTTTTTCAACACATAAGAAGGCAAGATGCAGGATGCTTGGAGGTCTACTCTTCTCGAAAAGAAATTAGGGGAACACTTGATCGGTGCACTATACGCCAGGTCAGTTATATTTCAGGGATATTACACAGATCATGTTATGTAAACCATTATGAATCCATTTCACCTGTTTTTAAAGAGACAGCTTATAACAACTTAAAAGATCAGCTGTTGTGTATGTGCTATCAAGAGTTGTTCAGATTTCTATAATTCCATGTTTTCCCTACAGCACATGTTACCCTTTGCAGCGTGTTCTTTCTCAACCTGTGGAGAGACTTCATCAGGATGTGTGAATGCAGGCCAATATCATGCAGCTCAACAAGCAGCTAAAGGACATTTGGACCTCATGCCACCCTCATGGAGACTGTTTCTGACACTTTGGACAAGAACGTGCAAATGAGTAGCCCACTGGAGGTCATTTTGTAGGACGGTACTCCTCATGTTCGTCCTTGCAAAAAGGAGCAGAGGTCAGTCCTGCTGTTGGGTTTATGTCCTTCTATGTCCCTGTCCAGCTTACCACATTCTTTATAGTGTACTGGAAGACACAGCAAACAATTTGATGGGACGTAGGGATGTGCCAACCCATCGGATTGTCTCGTTGTTGTCTCTCCAGGACATTGTTATCACTTTAATTTGCATCAAAGCAGCTAAAATGTATTCACAATTGTTTCTGCTTCCTAAAAGGACAGACTGATATCCATTAGGTTTAACGGGCTTTGTGTTATACTGTGATGATCAAGTGTTCACTTTATTTTTTGGGCAATTGACATGTTGTTTCCCATGAGGTGAATGTGTTAGACCAGCAATTATGGGTCTTTTTAAAAGAGCTGTTTAAATTTCTCTAAATCATCCATCTTTCCCTAAAGCATATATTCTCCATTCCAGTAAGCTCATTCTGAAGCTATTTACATAAAATCACCATTTTTTATAACTGTCTCCCAATGAATGAATTTTTTTACCCTAAGTAATGGCTGCAGCTGTAGAAAGACTTCCTTTAGGGAGTTTCAGAAGGGTAAGAATGTGCCATCAGCTTTAGCGCTGCTTGTTAGTAACAGAGAAAGGATTGTTTGCAAAAATGTCACTTTTTTCAAGAGATTTTAGCTGCTTGAGCAACCAGCATCAGTCAACTTTGAGAGTGTTGCTGTGCTAACACGGTGCTCACAGCATCAGCTTGCAGAGCCGAGAACTTTTCATAAAGAATGACCTTCCTGCTATTGAAATGTATTACAAAGTTCATTTTTCTTTCTTGCAAAACTTTTCTATTGTCTTATTTTTCTTAGGGTAAGTGAACTATAAAACAATATTTAAAGTCACCCTGCATGACGTGGAAATATAAAACCAAGTCAATTAACTGAACTCGAGAAAGTTCAGTCAATAAAACGTAACATGCGAACTTTTAAAAGCAGTCAGGTTGTTATTCTACTCAGTATGTGAAACCAGTTCAGCTCAGATGAAAGATGAAGTTTCCTGAAGTTGGTTGATGAATAAGCAAAATAAAAAATAAGGACAGAGGAAACCAAACAGAAGTTTATTGTTCCTGCAAACTGTTTTTCCCACTGTATTTGAGTATCTAACGCATTATCTGATTCCAGTCAGTAATTTTCTGTAATTTTATCTCAACAGGATGTCGAGCTTGCATCAGCTTTTCTTCTGTGGTTTATAAACAGAGCAATTTCTTTTCTTCTCCTTTATTTCTTATTGTTTTCTCCAGTTTCACACGCCTCACAAACCACAGTTTTCCTGAAAATGTGAGAGATCTTCTGTTCAAGTAAGGAAAATCCAACGTTTGAAGAAACCAGCTGTGATTGTGCTCCACTGTGCCAACTGTGACCCACATCCTCATCTGTTACTGCGCTTTAAACAGAAAGCACAACATCTTCCGGATACATTTTCAGCAAATTCCGGTCTGTATTTGTTAAATAAACAGCAGTTATCATCGCTTGGCAAAGTTCAATAATCAAAGGATCATATTTGTTATGAAGGGACTAAGACTCCACAAGGAGACAAAAAAAAGTCTAATCGGCAAAATAAACTACACTGTTGTCAACATCTGTCTCGACCTTCTTTACTCGTCATCTGTATAACCTTCTCTCATCTCGAGCAGCCTAAATATTTAAGGTTGTCAGTCCCAAAAATGGTATCATATCAACTCCAAACAGCCTCCCAGTTTTCAAAGTCTCCTGGTTACCTGAGAGATATAAGCTAACAAATTCTCAATGGGATAAAGAATTTGTTTGAGGGGCAGAAATTCAAAGAAGAAGAGAGAAATGTTTGACTAAGTTTTTCAACGTTTGGTTTAGTTTGAGGAGTCGTGTCTCTGTTATCGCCTGCTTTCTATTTGGTTTGGGAAAGCTTCGGCGACAGCAATCCCAAATTGTTTAAACCCTAATGCCCCAAATCTGTTGTAAAATCAAAACTGGTAATATAAACATAAATATTTCATTTAATTGACTGGATTAATCTTTATGGCTAACAGATGTTTACTCGCAGACGGTGCCCTTTGCCAGTAGTACTTCGAATTAGCATTTAAACGTGACGCCAACAGATCGTGAGAGGCTTGTTTAGCTATTGCCACATCTTGCTACTTCACAGAGTGACCAAACAACACCTTGGAGAGCAGAGCAGTGTTTGATGCTCTCTGAAAGACAATAGGTTGAGTATATCTGAACAATGTGGAACTCCAGGCAGACCTGTGTTTAATGCATCTGACACACTAAAACAGTACAATATGATGCACTGACAGAGGACCTCAGCTCAAAGCTCAGTGTCAGGGCTGTAAACCATTTGCAGTTTGAGTGCTGCTGCTTTTAGTTTGAATAATCCTGTCTCTGTTTTTTATTGTAGTAGTTTTTAATAGTCTGCAGCACTTTGTGGTCATTAGTTTTAAGCGCTCTGCAGGTAGGCCGTTTATGATCTACGTCTTCCTGCTTGAACCTTTAGTGTCTTAAACCTTAAATGGGACAAAACTTGGACTTCTTTATGGGACTTCTGCAGTAACACTCTGATCAATAAACACACAAGAGTCATGGAGCAAATCGTCCGTTTATCACGGGTTAAAGTTTAACTGTTTGCAGCAGCACACTGAACCCTGGACTACACACACACACACACACACACACACATACACAGATGTAGCTGGCTGTTGTCATTTTATGTTTAGTTCAGTGTTTGTTGGTCGACTTTATCTACTTTATCTACTGACCTCCGGAAGTATTTGTAATTCCGTCTAGATACACAGTGTACGATAAGGCCAGGAAGAGAGTGTGGACACAGGATGTTGAGTTAACACTGGGACAACAGCAGAGCTGCTTATCGCACAGAGAAGCAGCCTCAATACAACAGCCATCCACGTGGATCCACAGTGGTGTCTGAAGTTTGTTGAACTGCTGTCAGAGGTTTGCATACACTCATCATGGGCATGAAAGTCATGGTCATTTGGGGCTTTTAAAGGACTTCTTTGGACTGTTATTTTTCCAGGGTGAAATAATTGCACAGCATACATCTTTAATGGCTTCAAACAACAAGAATTGAGTTTTAATTTATTTTGGATTTTCTCTCATTCAAACAGGGTCAAAATTATGCTTACAGGCTCAAATATATACATGCACTCAATAAGTGCTGCTCAAAACATTGTCTTTTAACTTGACAAGGCTGGAGTTTATTAACCTCTCGTTAGTGATCATAATGGACTGCAGCTGGCAGTTTCTCTTTGCAGTATAAAAAGGATTTGTTTGACGGCATCTATTGGACTGACAAATACTCGGAACAATGGGAAAATCCAAGGAACTCAGTGAAGCTCTAAGAAGGAGAACTGCAAATTTACACAAACTGAGAAGGTCTCTTGGAGCCATTTCTAAACAACTTCAGATTCAAACTGTGTGCAAGTACAAGTCATTCAGATGTGTCACCACTTTGCAGAGGTCTTGAAAAAAGCCAAATTGTCACATTAGAGGAAATTTGTTAGGATGTTTAGGAACAACACAGGAATTACTGAAGCTCAAGCCTGCCATTACTGTAAACTGCAGGAACACCAGCATCACCGTCCACAGTAAAGCCAGTTTTATACCACCAAGAAAGAAGCCCCTGCTCCAAAATCAACACCTTCAAGCTCAACTAACATTTGCTTTATGTTTTATGTTAACATTTCTTTTAAGTTTTATGGTCAGACAAGACAGAAATTGAGCTATTTGACCACACAAAAGGTATGTTTGGAGGAATTAAGGTGGGGCTTTTAAACCTAAGAACACAGTACCAGCTGTCAAGCATGTTGGAAGTAGCATCATGCTTTGGAGCTGTTTTGCTGCCAACGGTACATTGCACACAGTAGATGAAATAATTAATAATAACATCTAAATTCTTCAACTTCACCTACTCAAATCAACAGCTAGACCAGGGGTGTCAAACTCCAGGCCTTGAGGGCCGGTGTCCTGCAGATTTTAGATATCACCCTGGGTCAACACACCTGAATCAAATGATTAGTTCATTACCAGACCTCCGGAGAACTTCAAGACATGTTCAGGAGGTAATTTAACCATTTAAATCAGCTGTGTTGGATCAAGACACATCTAAAACCTGCAGGACACCGGCTCTCGAGGCCTGGAGTTCGACACCTGTGAGCTAGACGGTTGGAACTTGAACATAGTTTGGTGCTTTCCAAACCCCTAACATCAACCATCTGCTAGAACACTACCAATTCTGCCAAGAGTAGTGATCAAATATTGATCCAGAATCTTGGTGATAGATACCAAAAGCATCTGGCCAAGGTGCAACTTGCTAAGGGACATTAAACCAAAAATTACTGGATGGGTATGTATATATCTGAGCCGATATGTATGCTTTTGATCAAAGAGAAGATCCAAAATTAATTTAAACCAATTGCACCCAATTCATCATTAAAGATGTAAGCTGTGCAATCATTGAACCTGGAAAAAGAAAAGTTCAAAGAAACCATTAAAATCTCAAAATGACCATGACGTCCATGCCAATGATGAGTGAGTCTTCTGAGCAAGCCTGTTTATGGTGTTGGACTTTTGAATATTACTCACAGGAATAAAACCATTCACTTACACAAAAGAAGCTTGGTTAAGAAAGAGGACCTTCATGGTTACGGTCAAACATAACAGTAAAGCTGGATGGTTTGTGGTAATATGATGAAATATCTATATTTTGAAATATACTGCACTTAACCTCCTAAGACCCGAACTCTTCCACGGCATGCATTTTTAATTTCTCTTTGATATTTGGGCTGATTGGGACCTGATGAATGTAAAAACAAAGAATCACCAGATTTTTTTTAACCTATTTTTGTTTCTAAGACAATTGAGAGCCACATATGAGGATATTTGTTTTACATTTCTATAGAAATAGCAGTGCAATGTCCTCGTAAGTGGATATCAGGCCCTTGTAGAGCAAAATTGAATATTTTGGTCTAAATAACCCAAAATGTGATGTCCACATATGTGAACGCCAGGTCCTAGGAGGTTAAGGCCAGTAGCCACAGTAGATATTTGTAAGTACACGCAGTGGAAACGTGTCCTTTGTGGGAGGTTGTGGTGACCTTTATTTCAGATGGTCAAAATCTGTTTTCCCCAGTTGTGCAAGTTGAGTTGAACAAAACCACGTATTTTGCAAACCTGTCATTATGTTGCCATCAAATTTTGTCCGTTTCTGTCAGCAACTGCATTGAGAAATCAGAATATGTCATTTTTGTTTTTATTACATTGTTCTCCCAAGTCTTGGCAACCAGGGAACAACAAAAATAATCTTTCTAATTGACATACATCAAAAAATATTCAAATTCTTTCCAATAATTTTGCTTTCCCTTTTTCCAGTATATACGCAGTTAGGGTTGGTTTAGAGTAAAGTTTATCTCCCATGATGATTTACACCTCAGATGGTTAACAGCATGGCAGCTGCATAAACTGTTAAACTTTAAACTGGATCCATTTAAACATGACATTGACGTGCATTCAGATTTATACGGTCACATGATGAAAGAAACGAGTATATAAAAAGAAAGAGATCGTTATTGTACTATAATGATGGTGGCATATGTTGTATGTCTGTTCCCTAATTCCTCCTACACATATTTTCAATCTGGATAAAACTTACTATATATACTGCCAAGAGCACCAGGGGTTATCAACATCTATACAGCTTTCGGGAATTATTTTATAACACTCACATCCTCACAAATTATATATATTATGTGTAACAGCTGATCTCAAAACAAACAGTGACATTACGCTTACGTTACTTATAAGGTGTCGAGTTTACGTGTACGTTACATGTGTGTTGTCATTTGTAAATACATTTTGCTAAATGCATTTTAGTGAAGTGGCACTTTGGCATCACTGGAATCTGCATATCTGTAAATAAGTATTTATTAAACAGTGCTGCTAATACTACCTACCTATCAATATGCATATTCAGTTTGATTCAGTTTTATTCATACAGC